AACTACCTACCTCATTTTAAATTACGTTTGGACTTGACAAAAATTGTGCAAATGATGGGGGAAGGTAGAAGAAAAAATTTGCATTTTGGAAAATTTAGTCCTTTTCCTCCCATCCCTTTTCAAAGCCACGGTTTCCTCCATCTTTATAATAACGTGCTCACTATTGGTAATCGCTGGCCCCAGGATCCCCTGCCTGTTTTCTGGCTAGGGGTGTTGAGACCAGCCTCTAGCCGCTGAAGAAATGATAGAGGTATAGGCAGAGGACAGGAAAGGCCTGGGCAACTCAGCCGTGTGAGCTCCTGTGCGTGGGTGGAGCGTGCGGGCAGCAGCAGAGAGGCCTGAGAGCAGCACCCCCATCCCTGACTGGGACTTGTCATGAATGTCTCTTGCCCTTGGCCACCTTCCTTCTCCTCAAATCCAGAGATGTCCCAGCTGATCCCTTTTACCTCTGTTTTCTGTGTAGAGTGTATCCTTCTCTCTCCCTGTGTGAGCATCTTGGCTACTTTGTAAACCTCAGATTTAGGGAGAACCACGGAAGTCAGTGAATCTTCAGAGGGAATGCTCTGGCAAGAGTGGATGATCTAGGGCTGCCTTCTCCTCCCGCAGTTCTGTCTGCTCAGGTACCTGGTGTCACAGCAGCCAGGGGACACCGGGTGGTTTTCTGACACATGCCTGGCCAAGTGAGTTGATTCTCACCCATGGATGTCACACTGTGCCTGGAGTCGAGCAGCAGAGTTTGGAAAGGAAGTTATGACCAAGTGAAAACTCTGATTATGCTGTTCATCCGTAACGTAGATGAACTTTAATTCATACATTGTCTGTATGAATAAGGATGGATAAATTAGAGCTATACCCATCATTCATTATGTTAAGAAATTTAAAAATAATTATGAAATGCTTTACTAATCACGATTTGTTTTTACTTGTATTTTTCTGCTTATTAGACTAATATATGCTCATTAAAAAATGTGTGTGTGTATATATATATAAAGTATAAGTGCTCATCCCCACCTCTCTGGGATCACCATTGCTAGCAGCTTGGTGAACATTCAGTATATTGCCTTCTGTTTGCATATATCAACCCACTTTTCTCTTACAAAAATGTGAACATTCTACTCACGCTTTTGTGCAACCTGCCTTTTCACTTACCCGTGTATCTTGGACATGTGACAGGGATGTGCCTCACTCTCAACAAGCATCATTCCAGCGTGTAGCTGCCCCAGCATTACATCATGGCTCCTAGTGATAGGCACATGGGGGCTTCCACTGTGTTGCTGCCCACGGTGAAAATACCAGTCCCGCTCCTCTCTGAGCCCAGCTGAGACTCACTCAGGATGTATACCTGGAAGTAGAGTTGTTGGGTCAGAGTGGGGACCCTTAACATTTTAACACATTGTTAATATAGCCTGCTGAAAAGTTTTTACCAATTTATGTTATTGCAGTGATAACAAAGATACCTATTATGTGCTTACCAACTCCCTCTATTATCAATTTTTAAAACTGCCAGTCTGAGTAGTAAAAATAGATTATATAACTGCTTCATTTTTTTAAATTTAGTGATGTTTGGCAAATTTTCAGTTTATTGGTATTTGACTTTTCTGTTTTGGTGTGTTGCCCATTCCTATCTCACCATTTTGCTACTGGCTTGTTAGTCTTCATTGAATTTTAGCCACCTTTCTATTTTAGGGAAATTAGACTGTCTTGAGTGGTGGACGTTTTCCTTTTTGTCTTTACAAAATCATTTTTTCTTAATACTGCACAAAAGTTTAATATTAGTCAGAATGGCCATCATTAAAAAGTCTATAAACAATAAATGTTAGGGCTTCCCTGCTGACACAGTGGTTGAGAGTCCGCCTGCCGATGCAGGGGACACGGGTTCGTGCCCCTGTCTGGGAAGATCCCACATGCCGTGGAGCGGCTGGGCCCGTGAGCCATGGCTGCTGAGCCTGTGTGTCTGGAGCCTGTGGTCCGCAACGGGAGAGGCCACAGCAGTGAGAGGCCCGCGTACCGAAAAAAAACCCAAAAAACAATAAATGCTGGAGAGGGTGTGGAGAAAAGGGAACCCTCTTGCACTGTTGGTGGGAATGTAAACTGATACAGCCACTATGGAGAACAGTATGGAGGTTCCTTAAAAAAACTAAAAAAAAGAACTACCATACGACCCAGCAATCGCATTATTGGGCATATGCCCGGAGAAAACCATAATTCAAAGAGTCATGTACCACAATGTTCACTGCAGCACTATTTACAATAGGCAGGACACGAAAGCAACCTAAGTGTCCATCGACAGATGAATGGATAAAGAAGATGTGGCACATATATACAATGGAATATTACTCAGCCATAAAAAGAAACGAAATTGAGTTATTTGCAGTGAGGTGGATGGACCTAGAGTCTGTCATACTGAGTGAAGTCAGAAAGAGAAAAACAAATACCATATGCTAACATATATATGGAATCTAAACAAAAAAAAATTGATTCTGAAGAACCTAGCGGCAGGACAGGAATAAAGACGCAGACGTAGAGAATGGACTTGAGGACACGGGGAGGGAGAACGGTAAGCTGGGACGAAATGAGAGAGTGGCATGGACATACATACATTACCAAATGTAAAACAGCTAGTGGGAAGCAGCCGCATAGCTCAGGGAGATCAGCTCGATGCTATGTGACCACCTATAGGAGTGGGATAGGGAGGGTGGGAGGGAGACGCAAGAGGGAGGAGATATGGGGATATATGCATATGTATAGCTGATTCACTTTGTTATACAGCAGAAACTAACCATTGTAAAGCAATTAGACGCCAATAAAGATGTTAAACAAAAACAAAAAATTTAATATTGCTCAGACTTCATTATTAAGAAATCTGGATTTCATGTCATGGCTAGAAAACCTTTCCTCATCTCAGTATTATAAATTATTATTATTATTACTTTTTATTTTTATTTATTTATATATTTTTTTGCGGTACGCGGGCCTCTCACTGCTGTGGCCTCTCCCGCCGCGGAGCACAGGCTCCGGACGCGCAGGCCCAGCAGCCATGACTCATGGGCCCAGCCGCTCCGCGGTATGTGGGATCTTCCTAGACCGGGGCACGAACCCGTGTTCCCTGCATTGGCAGGCGGACTCTCAACCACTGCGCCACCAGGGAAGCCCAGTATTATAAATTATTTACTCATGTTTTTGTAGGTTTTGAAGTGTAGTTTTGCCTGCCTGATTTGCTGTGAGCGATTACGGGCAGTTACCTCCAGGTGAGTGGGTGTGTGGGCTGGAGCTGAGACTGAGCGACAGGGTCCAGCTGGGATCACGTGTGAGAGAAAGTGAGACTGAGTGTCCTGGGGATGCAGCAGCTACGGTGACTGCAGGTGTGTCAGGGGCGCATGCAAGCCACTGGTGCGGGAAGGGGTTCTGAGAAGAAAAGTGGGAGCGAGAAGTGGAGCAAGTTTCCAGAAAGGCCGGGGACAAGGCGAGGTGGGGTAGAGAGGAAGCAGTGCTCAGGGTGCTCAGAAGGGAGACAGGCAAAGAGGGAGAGGAGGTCGTGTGCAGCGCCAGCATTCCAGATAAGTGACACCCGCTTTGACCCCAAAACACAACAGTGATACAGAAAAGGTAAAACTAGAAAACAAAACACCGCCTGACCCGAAAAACGAGATGAATACTTCTATGGACCAGTAATGGGGAAACATGCAAAGCTGCGAGCAGGGCTGAAGCCAAAGCTTGCTGGGCTCCCGTCCGGGGACCGAGCAGCTGCAGGCTGTTAGGTCCCGCTCAGCACAGGGGCCGGGAAGCGAAGCGCTGCACACAAGACCAGAACTCAAGGCAACCTCGCCGCTTGGAGGGCGCTGGATTGGAGCTTCGCCTGCACGCCAGCTGGACAGAGACTTTCATCAAGACGCAGGCCCAGAAAGGAGACAGAAGGATGCGGATCCCCGCTGCAACCGGTAAGCCACACCATCCTGTCAACTGCCTGCCTGGTCTGATATCCTCTGATCTCACTGAATCAGCGCACCTGGCTCTAGAATAAGGGCGAGAGGGGCGGGGAGCTGGATGGAGCCAATTGCTAAATCCACCTGTGGGGCTTCCCTGGTGGCGCGGTGGTTAAGAATCCGCCTGCCAATGCAGGGTACACGGGTTCGAGCCCTTGTCCGGGAGGATCCCACATACCGCGGAGCAACTAAGCCCGTGACCGAGCCTGTGGTCTAGAGCCCGCGAGCCACAACTACTGAGCCTGCGCGCCTAGAGCCCGTGTTCTGCAACAAGAGAAGCCACTGCAATGAGAAACCTGCTCACCGCAACCAAGAGTAGCACCCCCCTCGCTGCAACTAGAGAAAGCCCGCACGCAGCAACGAAGACCCAATGCAGCCAAAAATAAATTTAAAAAAAATTTTTAAAAAGCAAACCCACCTGTGGATTGTGGGGAGAGAAGAAATTGAATGCAAAGAAAGACGCAAACAATAGAGGGAAGGTGGGGAGGGGCAAGATGGGGTATGGGATTAAGAGATACAAACTACTAAGTATAACATAAATAAGCAGCCAGGATATATCGTACAGCACAGGGAAATACAGCCATTATTTTTTAATAACTTTAAATGGAGCATGATCTATAAAAACATTGAATCACTGTGTTGTACACCTGAAACTAATATTGTAAATCAACTATACTTCAAAAAAAAAGGTACCAAATTCACCCCAGATAAAATTTATTTTATGGAATGGCCTCATAAAAGGCTTACAGTATGTTTGGATGCTCAAAGAGAAAGTGAAATGATTACATTTCACTGAAAAGAGCAAGAAACTATGAAGTAAATTTGGACAAGAGCAGTGGTGTGCTGAAACTCACACAAGCTGGCTGGTAAATCACTGGCAGATTGAAACTGGCTGTGCTGGGAATATTTATACCACAGAAATCAGCAACACTATAAATCAGGGGTTTTAGTTTGTTTTCAGAGGCAGTTTACCAGCATACCATTGGTAGATTAGAAATTTTAGTAATGAGAAAGTCATTGAAATAAACTCAATAAATGGGAATCCTAGATTTTAAATCCTAATTATACTCTCATTTTAAGGACAAAAATAACACAACCGAATTTCAGTAGAGAAAGAGAAAGCGAAATGATTACATTTACAATAAAACTATTTCTTGCTCCCATAAGCTCTAAACTGGATGTTCCTGATTGGTTGGCTCTTCTGGACACTTTCCCCTGACTCTTTCCATTGAAAAGAGTGGGTTGTTGTTTTTTTTTTTAATAGAATTGATTTTTTTAGAACAGTTTTAAGTGTATAGAAAGAAAAGGCAAAGTTACCTCATAGCAAAAGAAGGATTGAACTCAGATCCTTCTGAATGCAGACACCATATGTTCTTTCTACTTCACCAAGCCTTCTCCCTGGAGAGAAGCCATGTTGCCAGAAAGAGCCTGTATTATTCTCAGCAGAAACAGTTGTTAGATGAAAGGTGTTGTTTCTATATTCTCGGGGAGCAGGCTGGTCCTGATACCCACAGTTCGGCAAGTGTAAGGGGAGGGGCCATCTTGCATTTTTGTGCGTTAGTTGTCACACAGACAAACTCACCGCAGAAGCTGTGATTTTTCTGGAAGGGTAGTGAGAAGGAGCATTGATTCCTAATTCACTCAGAAAGGAATAATTTGATTTTTTAAAGGGTTTCAGGATTTCACCCTTCCCCTCACCAAGCCAGGAATGTTTTCCTACTTTGCCAAATATGTAACAGGCAGCAGTTCCTCGCCTGCTGAATGGCAGCCCTCAGCCGTTCACTCCTCTGATGGGTAAAATATTTAATCGCTTCCTGCCCTTCCTCTAGCATCCAGCCAGAGTGCCAGCCAAGTGTGTATCCACCACCCCTTGTCAGGCCATAAATCGTAATGTTTCTCTCCAAAGAGCCCTCTGTGTTCAGACTGTATTACTGCTCACTCAAACATGGTGCCTCTCCCAGAGGAACACACATCCCTGCTAGACTGAGGCATGGGCATGGGACTTCTTTGACATCAAGGAAATGTGAACTTCTTGACAGAAGCATTCAGAGCCAGCCTGTGGCTCACCAGACACTCGTTTCCTGGCCCTGAAACAACAGATCCACCACAGACGGCACTCCTTTCTGTCTGGGTCCCTGAGTGACCGTGATGAGCACAGCCCGTGATGGAAAAGTGGCTTGAGTGAGAAACAAACTTTGTTGTTTTAAGCCACTGCGAGTTTGAAGGGTGTTTGTTACTGTAGCACAACCTAGCTTATCCTGACCACCCTCCCTGCCTTGGAACGGCTAGTTCCCTGTCCAGTCACCCTAAGGTCAATCCAGATCATAGATATGCTCCATCTAGGTACACAAAATTCCCAAGCAGCTTCTTGATCCACTTAATACAGAGGAGAGAAAAATTTCCAATTCCCAATTATTTAAAAAGCCTCCATCATGACAGAGAGGGGTTAAATAAACAACCACAAGAAATCAGCTCTGTGGAGACAGAGGAAAACAGACGAAGAAAAAGGTGTCTGCTAGTATGTGATTAAACACCACACTTACCTAATTTTCCTTTCCAAGAGCTCACTGAATTTATCGGGAAGGAAAGAAAAAGGTATAAACTCACATGGACAAATAAAATGGAAGCAGTTACATTGGAAGAGGGAATTTAACAAAATGTTTGGAACACACAGAAAAATGAATGAAAAAGCTCCAATTTTTAGTAATACAGGGAACTATATAGAGCATGAAAAAAATTCCAATCCAAAAACCAGCTACAAAGCTGATAATATTCTGTTTGAATATATCAAAGAACTACTACTTTTAGGGTTTTATTTTTAACATTTAGCTCTGATTCACTTGGCATTTTGGTGAATGGTTTAGGCTATGGATCTAATTTTATCTTTTTCCAGATGGTTATCTAGTTATCCCAATAAAATTTATTTAAATATCCATCTTTTCCTAAGTGATTTGAGAGGCCATCTCTATTATAAACCAAATTTCCATGTGGACTTGGGTCTAGGTAATCAGACTAATGAAAGAGAATTGAGTATCCAGAAATACTCAAGTGAATATGGAATGTCAGGGCGGTGGTCACCTTCAGGGGAAGGAAGGGGGCTGTGCTTGGCAAGGAAGATGGAACAGGGAGGCCTCTGGGGTGCTTGCACAACCCGAGTGGTGGCTACATGAGTGTTCATCTTAAAATAATTCATTAAGGAACCGCCATACTGTTTTTCATAGTGGCTGCATCAATTTCAATTTCCCCCAACAGGGCACAAGGGTTCCCTTTGTTCCACATCTTCACCAGCGCTTGTTATCTCTTGTCGTTCTGATAACAGGTGCTCTAACAGGAGTGTGGTGATATCTCATTATGGCTTTGATTTGCATTTCCCTGATGATTAATGATGTTGCATATCTTTTCATGTACCTGCTGACCATCTGTATGTCTTCATTGGAGAAATGTCTATTCATATCTGCCCATTTTTTAATCAGATTGGGTTTTTTGCTATTGAGTTATGTGAGCTCTTTATATATTTTGGTTTCAGGTTTTACATTTAAGTCTAATCCATTTGGAGTTAATTTTTTTGAGTGGTGTGAGATAGGGGTCCAGTTTCATTCTTTTGCATGTGCATACAGAACTACCATATGATCCAACAATTCCACTTCTGGGTACACATCCAAAAGAATAAAATCACTGTCTTGAAGAGACATCTGCACCCCATGTTCACTGCAGCATTATTTACAATAGCCAAGACATGGAAATAATCTAAATGTCCATCAACAGATGAATGAATAAAGAAAATGTTGTGCATATATACACAATGGAATATTATTCAGCCATAAAAAAGGAAATCCTGCCTTTTGCAACAACATGGATGGACATTGAGGGCATTATGCTAACTGAAATAAGTCAGATGGAGAAAGACAAATACTGTATGGTCTCACTTTTACATGGAACCTAAAAAAACTAAATTCACAGAAACGGAGAGCAGATTGGTGCTTGCCAGGGTGGGGGAATGGGTTAAGGTGGTCCAAAGGTATAAACTTCTAGTTACAAGATAAATAAGCTCTGGGGATGTAATGTACAGCGTGGTAATTATAGTTAACAATATTTTACTGTATGTTTGAAAGTTGCTAAGAAAGTAGATTTTGAAAGTTCTCATCACACACACAAATATTTTAACTATATGATGTGATGTGTTAACTAATCTTATTGTGGTAATCATTTTGCAATATACACACACATAAAATCACTATACCTTACATACATATATAACTTTCTATGTCAATTGTATCTCAATAAAGCTGGAAAAATAAAATTCTAGCTTTTCCAGTTCTTCCATATAACATGTTCAATTACCTCTTTTTTCTTCAGTCCATTTTGATATCCAAATGGCAGTGGAAATTGCTTTTCCTTTACCACAGGAATTATATAATTCTATTTATAATCTATAATCTATCTGTATTATATAGTATTCCATCTTTGCTTTATGAAATAAATGTCCATTATGGAGCTTTTAAAAAATAATAATTCATGAAGCTATATATTTTTGTACATTTATTCTTATGCTCTTTTCTGTTTATGCATTATATCCCACAACAAAAATAGTTTTAAAAAATTAATTTAAAAATGTATTAGTTGGGGGGCTTCCCTGGTGGCGCAGTGGTTGAGAATCCACCTGCCAGTGCAGGGGACACAGGTTCAATACCTGGTCCGGGAAGATCCCACATGCCGCGGAGCAACTAAGCCCGTGCGCTACAACTACTGAGCCTGTGCTCTAGAGCCCGTGAGCCACAACTACTGAGCCCGCGTGCAAAGCCCGCACGCCAAAAGCCCATGCTCCGCAATGAGAAGCCACCGCAATGAGAAGCCCACGCACTGCAACGAAGAGTTGCCCCCACTCACAGCAACTAGAGAGAAACCATGCGCAGCAGCGAAGACCCAACACAGCCAAAAATAAATAAATAAATTTATATTAAAAAAATGTATTAGTCGGGACTTCCCTGGTGGCTCAGTGGTTAAGAATCCACCTGCCAATGCAGGGTACACGGGTTTGATCCCTGGTCCGGGAAGATCCCACATGTGGTGGACCAACTAAGCCCGTGCGTCACAACTACTAAGCCTGTGCTCTACAGCCCGTGAGCCACAACTACTGAGCCTGCACTCTAGAGCCCGCATGCTGCAACTACTGAGCCCACATGTCGCACCTACTGAAGCCCACACGCTCTAGAGCCCATGCTCTGCAACAAGAAGCCACTGCAATGAGAAGGTTGTGCACTGCAACGAAGAGTAGCGCCCACTTGCCACAACTAGAGAAAACCCACGCGCAGCAACGAAGACCCAATGCAGCCAAAAAACAAAAATTAAAAAAATCCATCATTTCAAAACAATGTCTTTAAAAAAAAAAAAATGTATTAGTCATGTACCCCTATGCTTCAGAGCAGCACTATTTACAATAGCCAAGACCTGGAAACAACCTAAATATCCATCGACAGATGAATGGATAAAGAAGATGTGGTACATATATACAGTGGAATATTACTTAGCCATGCAAAAGAATGAAATAATGTCATTTGCAGCAACATGGATGCAACTAGAGATTATCATAGTAAGTGAAGTAAATCAGAAAGAGCAAGACATATACTGTATGATATCACTTATATGTGGAATCTACAATGTGACACAAATGAACATATCTACGAAACAGAAACAGACTCATAGACGTAGAGAACAGACTTGTGGTTGCCAAGGAGGAGGTGGGGTGGGAGAAAGGACGGATTGGGAGTTTGGGATTAGCGGATACAAACTATTATATGTATAGAATGGATAAACAACAAGGTCCTACTGTATAGTACAGGGACCATATTCAATATCCTGTGATAAATCGTAATGGAAAAGAATACGAACAAGAATATATATGTAGGGCTTCCCTGGTGGCGTAGTGGTTGAGAATCCACCTGCCAATACAGGGGACACAGGTTCGAGCCCTGGTCTGGGAAGATCCCACATGCCGCGGAGCAACTAATCCCGTATGCCACAACTACTGAGCCCACATGCCTAGAGCCCACGCTCCGCAACAAGAAGCCCGCACACCGCAATGAAGAGTAGCCCTCGCTCACTGCAACTAGAGAAAGCCCACGCACAGCAACAAAGACCCAAAAGCAGCCAAAAAAAAAAATTTAATTAAAAAAAGAATATATATGTATAACTGAATCACTTTGCTGTATAGCAGAAATTAACACAATATTGTAAATCAACTATACTTCAATAAAAATTTTTTTTAATGTAGTAGTGATTGGGGCACCATCTTTAAAGAATTCTGGTGGCTGTTATGTGAGGGTCAGAAAAGAATGGATCTCAGCCTGACAAAGATGAGCAAGCCGTGCCTCCCTACGTGACACAGGGAGGCACATTTACAACAACCCCATTTGTCAATTAGAGTTCTGACCTATAAGCATTTGGGACAACAGTTAATCGACCATTAAGGTCCCCAGAAGTAAAACAGATGCTGGGCAGCCCTCTAAGGTACTGCTTGATGTGTATGGGAAGGAACATTCTAGGAGTGCCGAGAAGAAACCTGAGTCACAATGATGGGAATTTTTGGCTTCTTACCCAGTTCCCAGACCTAATCAGGTCACACGCCTGGAGACTTTTTCAAGGCGATCTCAGGGTCCTTTGAGGAACTATTCTCTGATGTAGCAGGTATGTAGTGTGGCTCTTCCACCAAGCTTTTCCCGAGGAACCTATTTCCTGGAGTGACAGTGCACTGGGGAAAGGGAAATACCCAGACCATCAGGAGTCATCAGACACTGGCTCTGAGACCCAAATGCCAATGCAGTCCACCTTATTATGAGAGTTGGAGCTTACTATGGCTAATGATAGATGGAGCTCTGGTCCAAGTCCATTTAATGGTGGGTCCAATGAGACCACAGACCCATTTTAAGGTAATTTCCTTAGTTCCAAAAGGAAAGAGAGATATTTACTACCTGGCAAAATCACCATATTGGCAACCAGACCCGTGGAGGGAAGGTGATTATGATGGGATAGGCCTAATAGAAGTCCCTGGAACTATCTCCAACATGGTAAGTCAAACTCAATACCACATTCCAGCAGGATTTGCAGAGACTGGTGCTGCCATCCAAATTGAGTTATGGAAGGGTGGGTGACTTCTTCCTCGTTTCATTCACTCACCATCTGAATCATGGAGAATGATAGTAGTTTATTGCAAAGGTAAACAAGTGGCAATGCTAACCTGTGGTTCCAGATGTGATATCTTTGCTGAATCAAAACAACACAGTCCTTGGCCAACATTAAAAAAAAAAAAAAGACACATGATTTGGTGAGACTCCTGATTCTGGAGGTAACAGGTACAACATCTGGAGTGCTGGTCCCACAAAGTGTGGTGACCCACAACCCATACGACTGGGGCCCAGATAAGAAACAATTCTTGGAAGCCCAGGCTATGTGTACGTCATCCGGACGCTGGACCTTATCACTCAGCCAACCAAATGCTATTGGAGAGTGTCTGTGGCAAAGAGAGATGTCATATTGAACCTATGGCAACTCCAAATAAGAGAATTACAGCCCAGAGTCCTAGGGTTTTAGAAAAAGACCAATGCCCTCCTCCACCAAAAAGTATTCTCCATTTGAAAAGCAACTCTAGGCTTGCTCTTGAGCATTGACAGAAACTGGATTGCAGGACACCAAGTGACTACAGACTCTAAGACAGTTCCATCGTTGAGGCTCACATTATCTGATCCACCAGACTATAAAATTGTACATTCAGTGGTATTCCATTGCATGATGGAGGTAGGCTTGAGTGGGTCCAGACAGCCCAGTTAACAGCACAGGCAGTTACCGCAGACCCCTGTGGCACCAGCTCCTACCATTGTGCCAATTCCCTGCCAACCCACACCTATGGCATCATGGAAAGTTCCACAGAACCTGGAAAAGGAGGGGGGAAAAGCCCCATCCTGGTGCCTGCTGGATCTGCATGCTGTGCTGGCGCCTTGCAGTGGACAGTGTCTGCCCTGAAGGACAGTGGTGAAGGCCACCCTCCCAGAAGGCATAGCTGGCAGTTGGGGGTTGGGAAGCCTCACGTATAAGGAAAGGGTGGGAGTCGTGCCCTCCCCTCTTCACATCCACCCACAACAGTCTTAGCCATTACGTGGTCACAACTTCCCACTGACAGATACACCTTCTTTTCACCAGCAAACACATTTCAGAACAAACAAACGACTATATAGTTTCTTTGCTCTTTTTAATTCAGAGAAAAAGGGAAGAAAATAAAACAACATTTGTTTAAATAATTGTTGTAGAAAAGATCTGGGCCGGATGCTGGGACCTACCTCTTCCAGAATGGGGATTTATTAATGTTTTAAACAAAACAAAATCCAAACAAAAGAAGAAAAAGGAACAGAAAAGAAATAAATTATTCTGCTCAATACTGTTTGGCATATTGCATTGTTTTTTCATCTTTTAAACACTCAAAAGAGCCGCTTCAGGAAGCACTGAGATGAGACTGGCAAGAATAACTGGTACCTTGACTCTCTAAAATGACAACAGGAGGTGGCGAGAGAGGCGTTCCACTAAAGGCTCCCCTAACCCACCCACATTCTTTACTCCTCCTACTTCTGGAACTGGGAAGGGACAGACTCAACCTAAGTTCTCAATATATTAACTTTTAGGGGTGCCCACTGCCCTGCCCTAACCCTCTAATACACTCCCCTGCTGGCTACTGTTCCCCCAGCCAGCTGCAGGAACTACACCAATGGCCAGGAGGCTGCCGGGTGGTATCAACTCACCAAGAAAAAAGGGTGGTTTTTGTGTTCGTCACTGTTGGGAAGGGGGATCCTTTTAGTGGTTTGGAAGCTTCACAGAAGCCCTTTCACGCCTCTTACACTTCCCCAACCTTGAACGGTGAGAACACCCTCAGCAGCTTCCTCTAGGGACTTAAGCTGGGTTCAGTCATGCAAGTAGCGTCCAGCTGTAACCTCTGGTTGTTAGCTTCGCAGCCCTTCTAGAGCTGGAAATGGATAGTGGGTTAGAGGGAAAGGGCAGCAGGTGAGCAAGGGGGAAGGGATGTGTGGGCAGGGGAGGAGGCATGCAGGGGGCAAGTCTACTCCTCCCCAGCTATTTGCATGGCCAGCTTACTATTTGCAAAGAATCTGTTGGTCAGCCACCCCTAGTAACTTCAGGTTAGCTAAATCATGAGCCCAAAGCATCTCCAGCCTTCTTTCCTACGTGTTGCTCCCTTTCCCTAGAGCCAAAGGGGGAAGGGCGGGGAGCAGCAGTGCCCCAATCACAGGGCAAGTTTTGATTTTTTTTTTTCCCAGAGCAACAAGTAGGCTGGGGAGGAGGCCCAGGACCTAGGGAGAGACACTTAAAAAAGGTTGTGGGCGAACAACAGGGGCAGGGGGTACACGTGAGTGTACCTTACATCTGATGTGACGGGGCTTCCTTGTTTCCTGCCCTATTCTTTCACCTGTGTTCCAGTTAAGCCCTAGGTGAATTCCGCCCCCAGCAAGACGTGAAAACAATTCTAGTTTTCTGGTGAGACACTAAATGCCATGGTCAGAAAGGCCATTCCATAGGGTGGCCAAAGGCGGGAGGGGAGGAGGCAGGAGGAGGGGACCCCCGTACCCTCTGGATTCTCACCGCATTTCTTTGGTGGTTTGCACTCACCCATCTGCGCCTGACCGAAAAAGGAAATGTGAGGTCTAGTTCTCTCGGAGGTCCAGAGCGGTTTGGGAAGGCTCTAACTTTTCCCCTGGGGAAAAACGCGCTCCTTGGAAACCACCTGACCACCCGCCGACCTCCCGAAAGCCTCCGCGAACGCCCCTCCGCCACGAGGGACCACCGGGAAGGGGAGACCGGGCCGCTACTGTTCCGCACTTTCCCACCGTTTCCTCCTCCGCGCCCCCTGCGGGGTCAGGCCGGCCGGCGACTAAGCCGCCTCCGCCCGAGCCTGAGGAAAGTACTTCTCGGGGCCGGAACAAACTTCTGCTCCTTTGAAAGCGTGAAATATCGATAAAATCCTACCCAAAAGCATACGGGAGTGGGGATTGATCGGCCGCCGGCCCGCCTCCGAAGGCCATTGATTGGAGGAGACGGGCCCCAGCGCCGGAAGTTCTCCTTGAGTCGCATGATTGGCTGTGAGAAACAGAGGCTCCGGCCGTCGGCAGCGCTGATTGATGCTAGGCCCAGCCACCGCCCAGAGTCTCGTGATTGGCGGAGGATAGCCGGCGCTCGCTAGACTGAAGCATGATTGGTCCAGACTGCGGCGGCGTCGCTCCCGATTGCCTGCTGACGCCCAATAGAGTGCCGCGCCCGCGCTTAGGCCACCACCCCCGGGCTGACCCTGAGTCCCGGCTGGAGCGCTTGCCGGCGCTTCGCGGTAGGGCCGAAAGAGTCACGGCTGAGTCGGGCTCAGTTCCCTCGGTAGACCTCGATCTTGCTGGCCTTGGCCAGCATGTCGATGATGTGGGCCTCGAAGTCGGCGTCATGCACGCCCGTCTTCCGGAACTCGCCCGCGTACCGGTTATTCTCCCAGTAGTGGTGCCAGTTGCCCCGGCTGTCGGCCCCGAACCCGTACACGTTCACCTGCGGGGGAGGGCGGCGCGGGTCACCCCAAGTCGGGGACCAGGGAGCAGAGGGCGCGGAAGAGCCTCGGGTCGTGGTGCGGAAGGAGAGGGGAGCCGCGACGAGCCGACCCCAGCCAGAGGCCGGCGGCAGCTCATCAATTTACAGCGCGCAGTTAGACCGGGGACACCCAGCCCTGACGCTAAGGACACAGTCCCAGAGGGAGACTTCTGCTCCCTTCCGGTTCTCCTTCCAACCACCCTCTGATTACATCAAGAACACCTCAGTTTGGAGCTATTCTGTGACAGCTCTCCAACCCTTGCTAAATTTTTTTTTTAATGGAGTACTTTTATTGAAAGCTGGTCAAGTACCCAGTACCATACACTGAAGAGTTTACTGGCAAAAGTGGGCGTGCTGGGCATGAGCACTACCGTGTATGGCACAGTAGCTCCCCCTGCTAGAGAGATGGGCTCCTTGAATGACTAACCTCCATTTTTAACACAGAGTAGGCCTGGGGCCCACAGCTGTGGGAGACACCATCCTGCTGAAACTTAACTACTTAACTACGTCATTTCCATTCCATTTACGTTTATGCTTATTGTTTATGGCAAGTAATATCAATTATGGTAGTAGTATTCAATTTCCTTTTTAAATAAATTTAACGTTTCAATGAAATGATTTCAGATTTGGTAAAATCATGAAAGTAGTTAAGTCTGGGAAATGCAGATCTATACCTTACAACCTAGAAATTGGGGGAATGAAAGCCACTTTGTTTCTTCCTGTAAAAACACATTCCTCTTGAGGCACTGCTAAGTCCCAACAAGGGTGGACTCCCTCTCGTCTATGGGTCCCGCTATTTTATCAACTACCCACCTCATCACACACATGCAGAGCAAAGAAGAGTACCAGCATCCCCGTGGAAGGGTACCGCCCATGATGCTCTGTCCACCTGTCGTGGATGTACTTGAAGAAGGCTGGGTTGTAGATCTGGACCTGGGAGGAGAAGGTGTAATGAGCACGTGAGGGCTTCTGGGGGCCTGGAGGCTCAGGCCAGGCTCTGAGCAGCTTCTGCCAGTTCCTCCATGCTTGCCAGTGGACCTGTTCATCAGGGTTCTCTGGTTCCTGCAGCCTCTGTGTGGGGTCAGGCATACCAGCAGATGGGCACTCTGAAGCTTCTAGAAGGGTCTGGGGGGTATCTGAACCACAAGACCAGGCACAGCACAAGTCAGGTCTGCACTGTTTCCTCTGGGGTGGGGATGAAGAAGGGGGAGGAGGAAACTTACCTTTTCTTTGTCCACTCGAAGGAAGGACTTCACTGGGGCATAGGTGCTGAAAGCAGAAAGAAAAATAACACTGAGGTGGCTCCATGGACCCAGGGATGCCTTGTCTCCCACTGAGGCCCAAGTGATGCCAGCCTCACGACAGGCTCCCCTGCTTCCAGACTGCTGTCCCATAGCACATCACTGCAGTTCCTTGCACAGAAACCTTCAGTGGCTCCCTATGTCCTTCA